AAACCCTCCCATGTGGTAATCGTAGGTTCAGATTTTATCCAACGTTTTGCAGCTCCTTGTAGTGTTATTGGAAACACTCTAAGCATGACTGCATCTTTGCTTACTCCAACAATGTTGAAGTAGTCAGCTATTTCGAGTACAGCTTCGACATGTTGGTTCGCATCTTCATCTTCTCTTCCGATAAAAGGAGTTTCTCGTAGAAGGTGAAGAAATTGTCCTTTCAATTCGAAATTTGTCTGGGCTGGTATCGCGGGACGAATGACTCCATGATCATCTCCGTCTCTAGTACGACTTGCATATTCCTCTAATGAAAGGAGGGCTAGATCGGTCATTGTTTGGTTTTCTCGGATTCGTTGATGAAACGTGCGTTCGGGCTCTTCTAAAGGTGGAAAGAAAGTGAAATTTGAACTTCGGGTCATCTATTAGGGAAATTCTATCTTAAAGTGAATTGATTATACTGCATGAATTATTTATTTAATTTTTGTGTAATACTTTGACTATCAAATAGAGAACAGACAGAGAGAGGCAGTCGGGAGGCAGGATCATTTCGGTGTATATTATAAATATAACTTTTCTGGAATCCAACAACCAAAGCCAACGTACCAAATCCAAACACCGTTCTGGTAAGTAGAATTACTCGTATTACACGCGAATTAAATAAGGTTATTCATGCAATATAAACATGGCTCTGATACCATTTTTTTTTAAATATTTTTTTATAATATTTTTAAATTTTTTTTAATAAGTAAATTTAACAATCTATAATTAACTAAGGAAATTTAACAACCTATAATTAACTTACAACTAAAGAAATTTATGCAAAACTAAATTAAAAGAAAAAAAAATAATTTTTTTTTTTAAAAAAATAATTTTTTTAAAATTTTTTTTTAAACTGTTAATAAGTAAACTTAATATTTTAAATCAAATTCGTCTTTTTTTTATTAATTTTGTTTTTAATATATTTTTTTTTTTTAAAAAAAAATTAAAAATTTTTTAAAAATTTTTTTTTTACGTTAACTAACAAACAGTAAGACTAAACCAAATAAAACCGTTTCCCCAGCAACGGCGCCAAAAACTTGATGTGAAATTTATCTAGTCTTAAATTTATAAGGTTGAAATTACCGATGCTAGAATTTACTACACGACTTAGGCAAGTGTACCTAATTGAATTTGTAATATAGCAATGGTAAGAACGGATGTCGAACACTTGGGGAAACGAGTATGATTTACATTTAGACTATTTGTCGCTAATTAACTTAAAAGATAAGTAACTTGAGGGAATTTTTAGTAACAAGACAATAATGAGAATTTTAACAATTAAAGTGTAAAATAAATATAGAACAAGAACTGCTTTTTAAAAAAAAATCAAGAATGATAAGGATGTTTTCACTTAGATTTAATTCCACCTTTTAGCAATGAATGATTTATATTAAGTGCAATGGATATTATTAGTTATTTACCGATTTCTAAAATTGGTTAAAAATCATGATCTAATTTTTTACCGTTTTGATAATAAAAATAATTAAAAACAATTGTCATGCAATTACCAATTTTATTAACAATAATTAATTCGAATCATGCAAACATTTGATCAAACTATTAATTTTAGTGGTAGTAAAACTAATAGGAATCGTAAGTTGGTCATACGATACAAAATATACATGTTAAATTTGTAGTATTTTATTTTGCCTAATCCTAGGATTTTGTCCATCACTAGTCATAAATATCAATGGTCATGAAAAATTTATGATTCAAGATAATATATTTAAATTGATCCTTTAAAAATATTAACTTAGTTATAGGAAAATTAATTACAAAAATTCAACATATAAAAATAAATGATCAAATATGCATGATAAAATAAATAACAATTAATATTGGAATAATATAAATCAAATCATATTTTCAAGGTTTCATTATCCAAGTGAAAGCAAAGAGAATTTAGCCCATAATTAAAGTTACAACACACATAGAAAACATATTGAGAATGTTAAACATTTCGATAAAACAAACCCGATGTAGTCCCTAATGCCACTGCAATCTTCAATTCCTTAGCTTTTTTGACTCTTGAATCCCCAATTGTAGAAATGTGGTTCAAAGGTTGGATGGAATTTGGTATAGTGGTGATATGGTAAGAAATTGTATGGAGGGAATTTGTGTATCAAAGTGTGTATTTGAATGTCCTCTCCTCTTTTGTGGTGAAAAATGGTGGTATTTATAGTAAAAATTGGAAGAACTAAATACCAAAAAGAAATGAATTGAGATTGGATCTAATGAAAAAGAATTCAAAAGAAATAAAAAGATGGGAATAAATGGTTGGAAAGTTTAAAGGTGGTGAATTATTGAGTATTGGTTGGAAAGGAATGAGTTTACAATAGGAAAAAGTGGGGAAAAAATGGTTAAAAACGTAATGGAATCGGAATTTGCAAATCTGGGGCCTAAAACGACGTCGTTTTAAGCTAAATAGTTCCGAATCGAATTTTGGGTCGGAAACGGGTTAAGGCGCGGGTTTGGCTGTGAGATAAAACGAATCAGATCTCGGATCGGAACGGGTCGGAACTGGGCATGGATCTGGTTCGAGTGACGTCATTGATGACGTCACATACGAAAAAAAGCACGGGTCTAAAACCCGGGTTGGATCGGGGTCGGGTCGGTAAAATCGGATCAGCTTCTGAGGGAAAATGGATCGTGGGTCAGAGCGGTTCTCGGATCGGGTCTCGGATTCGGTTCTTCCGGATCTGGGTGGACGGATCAGTCCTGTTTTTGGGCTCCGGGTTTTGGGCTAAATCCGAATTTTTTGTTGTTTTTTTTTTTTTTTTTGCAAATTAAATTAAATTAAATTGATTTAATTAATATAAATTATTTAGAAATTAAATAATTAATTCCCAATAATTTATTTTAATCAAACCTCATTAATTAATTATTTTTTTTTTTATATTTTTATTTTGTTTTCTCGTCTTTGCAACGCGGCTATCTTTGAATTCTTTGACTTTTTGATCTCGTTTTTCTTCGTGTAATTTCTTTCACTTCTTTTTGCGGATTTTTGCACGTTTTCTTCTCCTTTTTCCTCAGAAATGCTTTTTAGCTGTAAAATGGAATTTCAAACTTTATAAGTACCTTTTATTTTAAATCATACCAAAATATAGCTAAAAATATATAAATATCGTTCGAAATATATGTATAATTATTGCGATATCAGATATGTTTGAATTTCAATAAAAAAAAGTAATGAAATAAGACCTCGTCATGTTCATCCTTACTAGCATCCCATAAAAAAAATATTTTATTTTTTGTATTTTTATGGTCTGGATTTTTTTTAATCACCTTAACGACGGAGGTGGACTTCAACCAAGTCAGCCTTTCTTATGAAGTGGCTATGGCTATTTCCAAAGAAAAATAAAAAGCCACGGTGCTCATAGTTGGCTGCTAAGTACCTCTCCAATGGAAAAAATGGATTGACCAACCCACCTCTTAAATATCCTGCATCTAGAAAGGTCTTATTTGATACAGAAAGACTTTGAGGCAGAACTTGGGCTAGACTTTGGTTGGGCAATGGTAAGCTGATTCGTTTCTGGGATGATGTTTGGCCATGCCACTCTACTCAGAGATGCATGCCATAATTTATATCAATTCACAAGGTTCTCATGATCTCAAAGTGATAGACTACATTCAATATGAAGGAGAAAAAAGGATTTATCCCAATTCAACTACCCATCCAAGAGCATTTGGCTTCACTTTATTTTTTATTTTTTGGTAGGGAGGATAATATCTTTTGGCAGCTCAATCCTCATGGTAATAATTATGCCAATTCTGCCTAAAAATCTCTTCAGGTGATCAAGAGGGCCCCTTTTTCAGTAGATGAGATTAGGATGAAAGGTATTATCTCAATGATGCTTTTCTCTGGCTTGCTTTTCAAAATTTCATTTTGGCCTACGGTAATGTAATCGGGATTTTCATAATTTTTTTTCTATGAAAGCAAGAGATGGAAAGTTTTGTTCTAAATTATGCCTTATTCCATGAGATCTAGAAGCACTTCTGCAACTTTATCTCACTCCATTTCCCTAACTTTTTTTACTTGTTTAAAAGGGGAATGAAGACCTTCCTTAGAAGTTGTCGCTCGATCGAAAGGATATAATACATACAAAAGCTTAACTTCGCGGACTTTCCGAGGTATACTCTTCGCCACGACATTAGTGGCTTAGCTCTTCGTGCTTCCCGCAGGCTTTTTTTTGTAGGGAGAGAGTCAGGGGGCGGTACGGAAGATTGGTCCGCTCCGTAAAGCTTAGCTTTTCGGTTCCCTCCCCCTATGTGGTCGGCCTTATTACCAGTCTACCTCCTTTCTATTGATGGAATATATCAATACCCGAGCTCCTGCTTTCCTTGTATTCTTCACCGGCGCTCGCCGGATGTATCACTCATACCGCTCCTAAAGCAAGGAGTCTTTTGTGTGTTAGAATCTTTACGGGAATGAATCGCATATGTTGGTTGAGAATTGCTCGGGAATTCATTGATAATGATAATGAGTTTGCCAGGTTCTAGGGGGCTACTATTGTTTTTTGTCGATCGAGCCGCTCTCCCTCATTCCACTCGTCCAGCCCTCTTCACGAACTTGTACAATCGATGCCACAGAGATAGCCAACTCTATTATCGAAAAAAATAAGGAAAGGGGCGACGATTTGGTACTAGATATCCGGAGGTGTGGAAAGATCAACTGTGAGAAGCGGAAAAACCATCAAAAAACGACGATTGTTCGTGGAGGTTTCCACAGAAAGACCCCTTGGTTCTAGCAAACGGATCACAATTACAGGTACCTGGGAGCATACCGATGGAATGAACGAAATACGAACAGTTAACATAATATGGTTATAGATCTTAGGTTGTAACTCGATCATGAGCGAATTTGTTGATGTTGCACCCATCAAGTATGGAAAGTGCCAAACATTGGGAACTACCCGGGGAGGAGTTAGGAATAGGAACAAGGAGAAGCGAGAACCACTTAAATGGAGGAATCGATTGTATTTCGTCCTTTGTTCCCCATAGCAACTGGGGATCAAAAAGCACCAAAATTTGATGACTTATTAAGGGAAAGACGAAGTAAGAGCATGCTATTGAAGACGTTGCAAGATATGTCGGGGAGGCCTCCGTTGATTGTGTACGAACAAAATGCGAGTCCAAATGCAAGGTAAGAATAAGAAAGGGTTTAGCTAGTGGAGATATTAACTCTTCCGGGAACCAGTAACGCGTAAACCATGTCAAACCAAGACCGATCAATATCTGAACGGAACGGATTCAAACTTCTCCTAGAATAGCATCCGGTGCGAAATGAAATTCATAGGATATATATATGAGTAATTCAAAGGATAAAGAGAAAGATTTTATAGGATTCTTTAGTAATGAACAAAACAAATAGGATTGATTATGTATCACAATTTCATCACTACATCGAAGGCTTTTTTGTAAATATATTTATAAGATAGCTTGGTATCCAAACTGTATCAATGATTGTGATCCTCATTGTGTAGTGTACATAATTCGTGTTAGGATCTACCAAATAGGGTGGGTATACGACATCTAATAAAAAAGTTTCCATTTTTATCAGTCATAAAATCATTCAAAAAAGAAAAAGCAGACAGGAACAATTTTATTCTCTAAACAAGCAGGTTTGGGGTTCTTTTTTTAACACCCTAATTCTCTTGTTTGTTGGCTTTAATACCATGAAAGAAAATAGAGAAAAAGACCTTCAAGATAATAACCATTTTCAAGAGACAGACTCCAGTTAACCACTTTCCTCCTCTCTTCTTTTCTTCATTCCCCCCTTTGAAAGAAGTAAAAAAAAAAGAATCTAACGCTCTAGTCTAATTGAAGACTTTCAACGCTCATGCTATTTGAAAGAGCTTTCAACATGGAGTGGAGACTCCATAACGTACACAAAGAGTAACCGCTTTATGAATATCATCCTAATTCCGGTCTTGTTCCGCACTTAAACGGATAACTCAAAGCCTTACCTTGACCAGGAAAACCTCGATGACATAATCATTTATAGTCACTCACTGGAGGTTTGGAACACTGAGTACAGTGTTCCGGGTGTAGCAGGAAAAGAGGTTGTACATGAAAGGGTACTCAGACTAAAGTGCTATTTCTTGGCCATTGGATCAGCAAGGGTGCGATTCAGATGGATGAAGAGAAGATCAGGTCTGTTTTGGACTGGGAAGTGCCGAAGAAGGAGAGAGCAGGCAATGGTGGTGAAGCCGGATGCTCGAAGCAATTTTTTTTTTTTTTACGACAAGACAGCTCAGGAGGAGTAGAAAGTTGCCACAACCTAGGAGGGGTTTCTGTTATAGGAAGCCAAAACACTTGAGCCTTTTTACAAACTTCTTAAAGGGGGAGAGCGACAGGACGACTTCAAGGAGAACGTCGAGACGCCATCAGTTTGGAGCGCGAGGACAGCAGAGCTTGCTGCAGAGGAGATCTGGTAAATGTTATGAATGTGGAGGAGTGGGGCATTTTTCTTGTTACTGCCCCAATGTTCAGACGGACGAATGCTGCTGGGGGAGTGCAGAATAGACTAGTTGAAGATGGAAGAGTGCACGTTGTGGAGCCTAGAGCCCGGGAAGCTCTAAAGGTAAGTGAAAGTCGGAAACATAGCGGGGGTTCTGAAGCTTAGGAGAGGAGACTGTTGTTGGGTTTTGAGCATTCTAACACTCCTAAGTGTACATGCAACCCTAAATACATTTGATCTATGTTTTCTCTATTATACATGCAAATATGAACTTTCCAAGGTATTCATCCTAACTAGCAAAATAACATTGATTCATATGAATATATCAAGTTAGAATTACATACCTCTTTGATGTAGAATGTCTTCATGAAGCTTGAGTGCCTAGTTCTCCAAGTGTGACACCTCAAATGGTTCACACAACACCAAATACACTTGGAATAACTTGAGAGAATTGGAACACTTCATGAAAATCGGCTAGCCCTTTCTATCACACATTAGTGGCCGATTTTCTCCAAGAATAAGATCATTATATAGTTAGGGTTACACCATGTAAACCCTAATTGTCATGGCCTTTCATTTCCATGATCGATGGGTACAAATACACCATAGAGCATCCGTGGACCATCTTATGGGTTTTAGCCCAACTTGACAAGCCATAGAGCATTTGCCCACTATATAAGTATGGATGATTTACACAATCAACCCATATATTTAATTAGTCTCCTTTTGATCACTTAATTAATACTAGATTAATTCTTGATCAATACTAATTAAATAATCTTATTAATATATTAGAACTTATTATATATTAACCAACCTTAAGTGTTATTTCTCTCATTATAGTCTATCCAAATGCATGATGCCATGCAACCCAAATGGACCATGCTGGGTAGGGTCAAGTCTTACCAATTATAGTTATGGACTTAGACATTAATCCAACAGTCTCCCACTTGGATAAGTCTAAAACTATTATTGCGTATGACTTCAAGAACCGACTGGCAATCGTAGCTCTCAAAAGCTTCCGTCGAACTCTGAACTTGCCGATGATCTCCGACCTTTGTCAATGACTTGTCCATTAGATAAGTGATCATATATTCCTCCATTCTAGATATCATATGGACTGAGACATGGATTATCAATCATTCTCTCTGTCCATTTGTTGTTTCCCGATTTTTGATTTATGATGACTGACTGATTGATCAAATCAAATCAGTCCTGGCTTGGCCAAGCACTCATATGTGTCATCGCTAAATCATCGAGGGGCCCACAGATATCGCTTTTATCCCGAAGGTAAAAGGAATGGATAAACTTCGACTCATATGGCTTGTTCTACTACTTGTTGAATCATACACAAAGGCACATTTTATAACATCGAGTTACCAATGCGTTTTCGTGCAATCAATGTATAACCAACTCATAGTAACAACTCATATCTCTAGGTTTGAAGAATATAAGATATTATCGTCTCATGATCACTCGTGATAAAATCCATGAAGTGATTCAAATGAGCGCGGGTTGAATCCAATACTCATAACTTATGAGCACTCATGAGTGTTGTAGCACCACTTTGTCCACCAACTTGGACCTCTACAAGCCAACTCATGACAGTCTTGATTCATATCTACTTCCAACATATGACCGACTGTGGATGGTTTGAATAACTTAATCTTTTAGGAAGAGCGACTTAGTTATTCTGGAAGTCAAAACATGCAAAGAGAAACACAAGAATAAATGAATCAAATATGGTATCAAACCCTATGAATATAAATAAACACTTTTATTTATCACCATACTGATTACTCATTATTCATTGTTTCGGTTTTATCAACTTTATACTTGAATTAAAAACACTATTTGTCCCATGTTCCAAGCATGTACACTATGTTTTTCAAAACAATAGCTTTGCCATACACCAAGTATGCACTCTATGTTTGTCTATGATGCTTACTTTGTGAACTAGATCGATTGAACATACTTTCAATGATTCTCTTTTCACACTCCCAAATCCTTATCAAAAAATGTAAGAATTCCAAATTCCTATCATTTATCGAAATTTGTTTAGATTTTAAACTTATATGCACTGACATCTTGTAATGAAAGTGTACAAAGTTACAAAGACTTGTCAACAATCATTATAAGGTATTCCAATGGAGTTCAACTCCATGGAAACTAAGTCTCATATTCAAGGTACATTGCTTTGAACATGCTTCGTGTATTAAGTTTTCTAATCTTACACAGATAACTTCCACATATGGAGACAACTCCATATTCTCATTTAGACTATCACTTCTGAACGAGATATGCCTCTTTTCAGAATATGTCAATATGGTCCTTCCAAAATGTGCACTATACTTCCAATTGTCCCTAAGCAACCAATCTTTGGTAAACCGTAGATTGTCCTCGACAATTGCAATCGATCCTGTACCCAAAGAAAATGGTACACGATTCATGATGTCTCACATAAAGACATGATTCTAGACCAGTCTTTTGCTACAAAAATTTTTATTTGCCATGTTCTCTAAATTTGACTATGAAGAGGGATGCCGTAATCATAATCGAATTTTGAGAACTCAATATATGGAATTTCCTTAAGTTGAACCAATCCAACATGAAATTCATATATATATTCTTGACAAAAGATGATTAAGGTCTCAATCTAAGCCTTTAGAACTGAAATGAAGTATATCATCTCCCTTAATTATAGCAAAACAACTTTTCCAACCCCTGCAGCTTCACGAATTGAAACTTTTGTTTTCTATAATTAACATTGCTAACTTGCAATACTTATCATAATTATCATGCTCCCACTAACATGATGATTATTAGCATAACACTTCTGATCCCACTAGCTTTGACATGTACTCAGAAATCAGTTGGACTTCTAGAAATCAATACTTTATTGACTTTCTTACCAAAGTTCAGACTTATGATACGAGATTGCTTTGATAAAACTTTATCAAAATCATACACCTTTCCTTAGATAGCATGCATGTGTGTCTAAACAATTTCAGAACTATGAAAAGGGATGTCGTAATCATAGTCTCAATTGTTTAGACCTTTTGCTATCTGCTTCAAATCTGGTTGGTGGAAGTGTTTCATCACCATCATTTTCATGAATCGGAGAGAAACATTATGACCCTTAGATTTTATGGTGTATGTGTTCTTATCCATGTGAATCTGTCAAGACCACAATCACAAGACTAGGTTAGTGACAAATCCAAACTCATATGGATTGAACTTGTGCAATCTTAACTTCTTGCCACCTGGCAGTACAGGGCCTGCCATTGCTTCCAAGTTGTTATGCAACCAACTGAGAACTCTAAGAACTCATATGCAAAGCCAACTTTAACTGGAATGGGCACAGAAATAGAAATATGTCAACACGATAGGTTATAAACCCCACGTCGTGTGCTAGTGTTAAACTACAGGTTTTTATTCTTGACTAGACCTTGAAGCTTTCAAAATCTCTAAGACTCCCACTGTCCTCTTGACATTTAAGATTATCTTGCCAAATATTCAAGAGATAGTGCAACTTCTTTATCAAGACAAACACTTCACACACTTGGCCTAAGTTGGTCTTTGTTTAACCCAAAACATCACAACTTACCAATTTAAAATGTACAAGAGTAGGACACTTTTACTCTTACATTTGACAAGTGTTTTAAACCTTTCTTTAAGATATGTCACTCAAGTTACAATCTTGGAGTATGATTCTAAGAATTGTTTTGGAACGAAGTATGACTCATCTTCCTGATCTAACCATTTAAACAATTCATGACTCCTCTTCTTAGTCATAAGAATGCACTAAGATGACCTTTAGAGGACTAATTGTGATATGATTTCTAAATCATTAAGATGATCACAAATATGATACTAAAGTACTCTCCCATCTTTTCAGATTTGAGAAACTTTTATCTTTCTGCCTAATTTGATTCTTCTCATTTGTTCTGCCATACATCGAGACTTTTCCAATGCTTCAGAATTATACTTAAACTTATAAGTATAACCATATTAACTAAACTTTAGTAAATCATGACGAATAGTCTTACCAATCTTTGTGGTGGACTTGACCAGTGCACAATAATGTGTACTCGATCCCTTTAGTCCTTCACTTGACTCACATATACATGTGAACAAGGAATTAGTCTTAATTTTTCCAAAGCTGAAGGTTCTCATTCATCATACTATACAACTTGCATGATTCCAAGTTTCGGTCCAATTTGAAACTTGGGTGATGAGAGTCTTTCCTTATTTGGTAAATTTAGACACTACCACAAATGAAAGAATCAATTTCATATTCCGATGTTACTATCAATGAGATCATATAAACAACAAGTTTCCACAAATGCCACTGTAAGGATACATATAAAATAAAAAAAAACAAAATTTTTTTATTTAAAACTTGATGAAAACTTATCCTTACAATGCAAATGCATATGAAAACTATGTTGTTATCTATTCCTAAGCAATCTATCACAACTCTTAAGCAGTAGCTCAAAAATTTTGATCACCGAACCATGCGATTGAAATCCATCTTCGCGATCAGAATCAACATATACTTCCTTTAAGTTTCTTCACTTTTCTTTGATTCTTAAAAAATCAACATGTGACCCAGTCACATCATGTAATAAGAATCTCAAAATAGAAACTTAACAGAGTTAGATAGTGGACTTTACCTGAAGTAGAGTCAAACTTCTTGACTTGATCACCCTTATGATCTTTCAGGTAAATAGGCAGCTTCGTAATCAATGCCCTTTCCTTTGGCAAGATAAACATATGGACTCTCTGGTAATGGGACTATCTCAGACTTAGTCTTTCTCTTTACCATTTGGTCAACCGAGTTGACTATGGACAATACCTTTCCATTGGGAAGAGAAAGCTTTTACTGGGTATCCAATGTTACCATTGTCAATGTCCATTGAAGGCTTGGGAGTTGATCTACTAATCAGATTTGCTCTGCCTGTGCTCCAAATCATTGTTGATTAAGCACCCCAAAGCAAATAGATAAGATCATTAAGGGTCATGTCATAGTCCTTTACATGGTAGTCCATAAGGAACTTACTATGTGACTTAGAAAGTGATTGAGCATCTAACTTTCTCAAGACTTTGACACCCAACTCTCCCGGCTTGTCAATATGTGACTTCATCTCCAAGATGTGATAACA